ATACTACTGTCACATTCTGGTTTTTCTTCTGGTTTTCCAACGTCCCATCTCGATATCCTTTTTACAGAACTGTTAGAATTTTTTGGTATTATTTGAATGCCCAATGATGGTTTGAACTTGGACTTTTCTTGTGTTGAGCCTACAGTTTGCCGATTACTTCTTACATTAATACTTGATTGCGGATAATTTCTGTTTAATTTTATGGTATTTTTACTTGTTATTAGAGATCCAGTAGACACTTCATGTATAAGGCTATCTTCGCCTAAATTTTTACTCGGCAATAGAGAAGAAGTAGCAGAATCAGCTTCATTTTTTGATTCGTTGCTTTCTTTATTGTCAGTTGATGTATCCTCACCAGGATTACCTGTCTGACACTCTTCACCAGATCCTTCTCCATAAAAAAAAATTATGGGCTCTTCTACAGCTTCTCCAAGAGCAGGATTAACTGCATCACAATCACTACCAGATCCTTCACCTTGAATCATTATCATTGGTTCCTCAATGGTTTCACCAACTTCATCTCTCCAATTACTACTCATTATTGATCTCTTATCCATGGAACTTCTAATTGGTATTACATCTGCTCTTATTCTCTTTAATATATCTTGTTGCATATCATCTCCTTCTAATGGACGTTTTATCGGTGTTGGATTCATTCTTAGAGCCGTAATTTTACTCGGATCTGGAAGTATGGTATAATTTGGTAATCTGTGATCTTCTTTATTAGATATTCTCGAAGCATTATGATATGAAGCAGGAGGCATATCGTAACCAGGAAATGACATTTGTCGTTTACTTAAATCTGCTACCATGCTATGATTACGCATCATCACAGCCCGAGCATCATACGGTAAATTTGTAACTTCCGGTTTGTTTATCTTCTTCGTACTGAGGTCCATTTCTCTATGTTGAAAATCTTGCGCCCTATATCCGGCAGAAGGTAAATCGATAGTTTTGTTAAATTTTCGACTAGATAAATCGATTCCAGAGAAATCCATCGGCCTGTTTTGCTCATTTGTGTTCTCCCATCCTCTTGGTGATGTCGATAAATCCATACCTCTATGTTCTCTAAGCGAATTCACTTTATCTATCTTTCTTGCACAAAAATCTTGTGGTATTCTATCATCATCTCCATTTATTATATTTCCCACAATACTTCCCGATCGCGCTAGGTTTTCAGCAATTTTCTCTAATGATTTTGCTCCACTTGGCTTTTCAAGTTTTTCAGATTGCATCCTCACAAGGTTCGCAGCCAGTTGATCTATTGGCTTCACAGACAATTTATTATGAGTTGTTGGCATGTCAGTAGAAGTAAAAAGAAAACTATTTTTATTAGATAACTTGTCTAGTGATTTCATAACTTGATCTGCTGAATCTTCATATTTCTTTGTTATATTCAATGTATGTGTTATTCCAGTAATTACTTTTTCTTCATGTAATTGTTTCATTTCAGAAACATTTACTAACTTAAGAGGAGATGTAATAACAGGTGTTTCAATTGATTTAAGAGGCACTGATTCTTCAGAATCAATTTTTGAATTACTCACTATTGTATGCTCTTCAGATTTGTATGTTTCTACAGGTTTAGTATCATTAGATACAATAGTAGTAACCATCGTTTTCTGAATAGTGCTTAATTCTTTCTCTTGTGATGAAACTGTTTCTTTTTCTGATAATGTATCAACCTTAGCATTTAAAATTTTAAGGGGACATGATGATAATAAAGGGGGTGTTTCAACAGGATTTGATTCTACCATTTCATTTTGTATTGTCTGCTGAGAATCATCTTCCTCTGTATTTTGTTTAGAACTTTCATCATTTGTCAATTCATCTTCACCATCCACATCTTCCTCAGCATTACCAGCCTCATTAATGTCATCTTGTTCTCTTTCATCCTCAAAATCTTCACCTCCACTCTTATCTAATTCTTTTTCATCAGATCCTTCCATGTGAATGCCATTTTCCTGTACAACTTCATCCTCCAAACTTGGTGATGTAGTTATTTGTCCCGTATCAATAATAGGTTTCTCAGAAATTTCTAAACTATTACTATCTTCATTAATTGGAATAGCTCCAATTTCTCCATTTGATAAGGTATTTATAAGATTAACTACTCCTTCTCGATCCCTAACAATATATTTAAAGATTTTAAAATAAGAATTTAAAATGTAAATAAAAAGAAATTCACATTTATATTGCACACATACTTAGCTACAAGTTCCCAATTTTCTTCATCTATATCTTCTTTATAAACCCTTATATTGCACTCTTCATCAAGTTGACACCAATAAGCTAAACCAGATTTATCTCTTCCTAAAGGTTCTACCCGTAATTCCTTAGCTGCTAATTTATTTACTTCATTTTTAAACTTTTGATTTAGGTCAAACTGTGTTTCTAAAAGAACCTGCAATGAAAAAAACTTATGTAAAAAAAATTGGCATATATGATCATATAAATATAACATTGGAAACATGAACATAAGCATTCTTTATCTAACATTTTACAATATATAATAGAATAATTATATTTATACTTTAAGTAGTCGTAGTTTAACAGCAATACGGGCTTTTTTGTAACCAAAACGTTCAAGTTCCCATCCATCTTGATTAGAATATGTATGACAGAATTTAACCAGTGCACGTTCCCATTTTTCTGGTGATACTGTTTTACGTGTTTTTCGTAATAATTTGATGTGAAGATCTATCAACTGTTGTGGTACTAAAAAAAAACAATTGATTGTAAATAGAAATAAAAACATGTATAAAAAGTATTAAATATTTATATTTTAGCACAAACAAAATTAAGAAATATCTTTGAAATATTTTCATTAGAGATATATTATTATAAAATTACAAAATTGTATGTAGTAACCTAAAATTTTTATTTACAAATGCATAGCCAATAAGAGGCTAACAGTAATTCATAAATCATTTTTGTTATATAGTATTAGAGTCATTAAAATGTGTATTTTTAAATCATTAATTTGACACACGATTCATAACTCGTAATCACGTGTAACTGAGGTTGACAACAAGGGAGGTGGCAGCACATGAGAAAATAACAACAGTAGATAGTAAATTGAACTAAACTGTCAATAATAGCATTATTTAAATGAAATGATGAATTTGATGTAAATAATTATCAATCGCATATTACTAATTAATTAGTAAATTCTCTTATTGTTAACTGTTGCTACACAAAGTAAACAAATAGGAAGACAAAGATCTTTAAGAATGATGTGTAGAATTCCGATGAAAAAAAGGGGATGAAAACAACTATAAATTTAATGCTCGTGGTTGTTCAGTATAAAATAATTATTTGAAAGTAATATTAGAATTATAAAAAAATACGGAATAGCATAAAATTTGAGAAGAAAACGCGAAATCGCGAAAGATAACTAATAGCACACGCGAGACTTTTGGCCCCGCGGGGGCGGGTCAATCATTCTCTCTCTCTTTTCTGCACATACACGTATGCATGCAGGTGTTACTCACCCTCCTGTGTGTTTTCAAGCATCTCTTGAAGGCGCGCAATATCAGGATAAACGATACCACAGGACTTGCCGAAGCACTCGAGAAACGAACAAATCACCGCGAAATTTGGGTCACTCGCGCAAGAGGCTTCGTTATCGGACGCCATTTTTCCGCCGCTTCTCTCTGGGCCCGTCGCCGCTAGGCGATATACTACGCTAGGCGACCTAACAACTCGTATCGCATTTTCGTCAAATTACTTTCGATCGTCACTGCTGTTTCACAGCACGTTTATGAAAAAAACCTGTTAACGTAGTTAAAAAAAAAGAAAAACGACAGAAAATCAATGTTTTAGAACGTTCGAACACCGCTTCCCGCTTCGTTGCTTTCGTTACCTTGATTGTTCTCTACCTGCTCTACTCACACCCGCATCAAAACCACAAACGAACACGCGCGTCCAACAGAGACAAATGAAAACGATAAAGGACAGAAGCGAGAAAAAACACACGCGCACGTACTTGTATTGTTGTCTTAAACTCCCACTCTATTTTCGTATCGTTTAGACATTCAAGAAAACGAATACTTTCTCACGCGCCTTCTCTTCTTCGTTCACTTTACACTTTTCCACATATCACGATGCTTACCACAAACACACTCATACATACAAGTAAGAAGATCGTTGCGTCTCCCGAGTATATACAAGATGTGTAATGTGTGCACGCGCGCGCGCGCGCGCGCACCTTCGGGCGCAATAATAACGATGCACGTAATCGTGGGGGTATCGCCTTTCCTGGACGAACGTTATTCGTACCTCGCTGTTCTATCAGCGAGACTTGTTACTGTCGAATCACAGGGTATATTAGCAGCGCAGAAATAATAACCACCACAATGACAATGAAAACAGCCCCCTTCCTTGCACCACGGCGCACTGGACATCGCCTTCAGGTCCGGGCTACGAAACATTTGGAGGGTTCTCAACCTGCGTATGGCGCGGTACTCGAGTACCTGCCAAGCTTTAAGCCATCTCTACGGAATTATATCCTTTAACTAAACTTTTTTATATTCTATCTCCATTAGATTTGCTTGTCGTGTCGTCTAGTATCGGATTACCGTTCCAATAAGCATAAGTTGTCTATTTATACAGTCCATTTGTTCGGTGGTACCATTGAAATTCGATTATATTGAAAGAGCGCGAAAAGTTTACGGTAGAACGTCAAACGCACATTTCAAGGTTTCCCCGACCGACGCTGTCGCTCAATGACGTAGTTCTGCGTAGTTTCGTATAATTTCGAACAGCGGGAGTAACGATTCGATTAATTAGGGCTAGCCAAAGGAAATGGAATTTTTGTTTTTTATCTATTACGTTCCTCTCGTGAACACTCGCGGATTTAACGAATTATAAAAACAAACCCGATTCTTAATGAATTGCACACGAACATGTGTACTCTACTCCATTTAGATTCTGTCACACCGTTTATTGTAATTTTTACATGGCCTTATACTCTATGGTGCTATACATCAAACACAGTAAACACGCCGACGTTTCATAGCAAGCTGAGATTGTGCGACTGCTGCGATCGATCGCGAGAGTCAGAAACACGAGCGATGTATACCTATATGCAGCGTAGAGACAAGACTCCTTGTCGACACCATTATGTTACAAGTAAATGGTAAAAATGTCCTTTTAGTCGTAACGACTATTTTTAAATTGTATTTTTCCAATTGTAGATGAAAGAATATTTCCGAGCAATAGTTTTGTTCCTTTCAACAGGAGGTGAAACGGAAATCCATTGAACAGATCGATAAACAAAGTTTTTAAAATATGAAACTTTGTGGTAGACGGTGCTGCCACGAGTACTTTCAAATCGATAGCGCGGGAGACATTTTCACAAGATTATCGATTATATGCTTGTTTTGTGAAATTATAAACTTCGATCAACAATTTTGCAAAGTTATCACGTGCATTTCGTATTTTATATAATTTAATTCTATCAAATTCGTACAAACATGGTATAATATATCTTGAATAATTATTCGGTGTATATTATATATACGTCTATATTTATTCACCATGTTTATTGAATCGTTAAAAAAATTGAATCACGTTTTATAAAACTATTTTTACTGTATCTATTCGGTATTGAATAGCATAACAATACAAATAATTCGTGAAATATAAAATGTTTATTTTCGAGTGAAAGTTTACAACTTTGCATCAACAACTTCTATTATCATTATTGTATTATATAAACGTTTATATTTACAACATATATTAAAAAGTCATAATATTATGTAATTTGTTGGATTCAATAATATTTGACACTTGTTAATTCTCTTTCATACATTCTACACTTCGTCATTTGTACCTGAGTGGACTACTTTCTTTTTGTCTGCTGTACATTTTTCTATTTGCCATTCTTAAGCTAGAAGTTTCAATTATTTAGGATTTCATTCGAATACATAGCACCATATAGACTGTTAAATAAACAAAGTAACTATTTATAATTTTGAATTATGTTTTAATTGGGAATTACTGATAAAATACTTGAAATGAAATCTTATTTGTATGAAAATATACAGAACGATAACAGTAGTTATCGAAATAATATGTAAATACATTTGTTAATCAGACTCTATTTTATATTTATATTTGCTTTCCACATTTTATGCTTTCGATAAACTGTTCATAAAAAATATAGCTTTTTCTGATTGAAAATTAATTATAATTAATCAATACAATATACTACAATTTTGAATCATTATGTACCTTTGATTTACATATATATGTAAGTGATATATACGATGTTTCTTGTCTACTAAACATTTATAGCATTTTTGTTTTAGAAAATATAAAGAGACAGGTAATATTCATTATATCAAATTTTGTTCATAAAACTTTTTATTTTGATAGAAATCTCCTATTTGTTTTATTTTTCATATAGTTCTAATTATTTAACGACATTATAGAATAATTTCATAATTATTATGTAACCTTAAAATATATATAAAAATTCACTATATATAAAATAGATCATGTACAATTTAAAAACGTATTTTATTGTAGTATTATTTATTTTTATACTATTTTCCTAATATTGCTTAGAAATGTGTGTTTAGTGGGAAAATGATGTAATTTCGAGAATGAAGAAAATACTGTTTACTGATAGTAATTTGTAATAAATGTAGCTAAAACAATAAATAAAGTGTTTCTTTTATTAGTGTGATGAATGTATAATTTAATGTAAAAAAATAGTTTGAAGATAGTAATATTATATTATGAAAGAGATTATAATCAATTGCAAGATATTATGTGGAAAGCAAATTGATGCTTTGTATATATTTACATTTATTTTTAAAAAACATTTGTGTACTGTATAAATCAGACTTAATCACGCATTCACATACACACATGCGTGCGCAAGCACACACAGGCCCGTACGCACACATATAATATGCAGCTTTTAGGAAGTATGCATATATTAAATAATATATGATTATGCCCTGTAATACGACCAACTCAGTTTTCTGATATAAATCAAGAGTATTAATAATACCGATTTAAGGAATCTTGTAGATCCGTAAAATAATCTATACGAAAGTAAGTAGTTAGTAACGAGAAGCTCGTATAAATACTACTATAATGCTTTGAGATAAGACAATGAGAAAATACAGGGTGGTTGGTAACTGGTGGTACAAGCGGAAAGGGGGTGATTCTACGCGAAAAAAGAAGTCGAAAATATAGAATAAAAATTTTTCGTTTGAGGCTTTGTTTTCGAGAAAATCGACTTTGAATTTTCGCTCGGTACGCGTACGGTACGTTATAATGGACCTCACTGTAGATCGTTGTCTCGATGGAAAAATTAAAAAAAAAAAAGAAACTTTATTACCAACCACTCTGTATATTAAAATATTAGAATATAGTTTTCAAATGAAATCTTGTACCAAGCTGAAAAGCCAAGGAAGATATTTTTTGTATATAAAAGAGGGCTCAAGAAATGAAACTTAAGATAAAATATTTACTTATACAAAATCACTTGGATGCCCTTTGCGCTGTAATAGTTTTAAGTTGCTGTTTATATATTTCAGCTTCTTCCTCTTTTTTTTGAAGCCGTTTACGATACTCAGCTGCTTGTCTTCGTGCTTCTGCCAATTGTCTATTCAGTAACGCAATATCCATAACTGGTTCATTATTATGCGTTGGATCATCTTCGACAATTTCTTCTATATCATCGTCTAATTGTAAAATTATTGGTTCCGTCATTTTTGCGGGCGAATTAATGATTTTACTCTGTTAAAATCATTAAACATAAATATGATAAAAGTTATAAACATGCATTAATCTGATTGTTTTCATTTAATATCTGATTTCACACCTCTGATGGAGATATTAAGTTTTTCGATTGTGTAAGTGTTGATACAGGCGTAGTACTAGAAATTGAAGAAATAAACAGTTTTCCAGCTTTATTATCTACAGAAGATCTTTTCAATATATTGGGTCCTCTGGATGTGAGGGTGGGTGTATTATGACTTAAAATTTGATCTGCTCTAATTGCTATCACTTTCCTAGGAGTTCCTTTCTTTCCAGCTACGTGAAGTCGTTTCATTCCTATTGAAGAATTTCTTGTTAAGTTTAGAGCAAGTTTACCTGCTTCTGTAAAAATAAATTATCGATGTTGATAAATATAAATATGTATAGCAAAATGTATATCTCATTAAAGTATTTTGTACCAGTTAAAACAACTGTTCTTCCACTTTCCATTGCATTTTCAACAATAGATGAATCATTATCTACAGGTATCATTGTGATTCCATGTGCTTCTAATAACCTAAATTTTTTGTTGATTCCCCCAATAGTTGTAATATCTTTGCGTTTCTTGCTATTATTAATATTATTTGTATCAGTAATTTCATCCACACCTTCGATTTCTTTTTCTCGATCAACATCAACATTTGGTCCAACATGAATCTGTTGAAAGATCATTCGTGGCTTTTTTCCCACTTGCACTAGATATTTAATAAAAAGTAGTAGTATTATTAATCAAGTTTGACATTCAAAATCTTACTGATTAAAATATCAAGTGATATACCTTGTGTAATCTTTTTTTTTTGTTGTGAATCTTGCTGTGGAAGTTCAAATTTTTGTTGTTCTTCCTCTCTTTCAGATTCTAACTGTATTAAATTATGAGTTGCTACTTCAAGTTCTGCTGAATTTGCTTGATTTTGTTGATGTGCTCTAATACCTATAATTTCTCTTTCTTGTTGCAATATGTCTACTAAGTCTAGCCTATCATGTTCTAATGCAAGACTAATTGGTGTTTTATCAAATTTACTAGTTGCATTTGCATCTGCTCCATGTTCTAATAAAACATGCATTACTTCTACATGTTCCCTTTCTACCGCCCAATGTAAAGGCGTCATTTTTAACTGCAAATGTTTTTTGCATTAAATATATGATACACGAAGTTTATTTTTACAATTTTATGCTAATTACCATATCTCTGCTATCGACATCTGCACCATAATTAAGAAGTAACTGTGTCATCTGATGATGGCCTTCATATGCAGCCATATGTAAAGGCGTTCTATCCACTTTTGTTCTTGCATCTCTTGAAATTCCTGCTCTAAGTAAAACCTCAGCAGTTTCTGTATGATTATTTTGTGCAGCAAAATGTAATGCACTTGTACCCAACTGTCAAAAAATATTATTTCATTATGAATTACTATATAACTGTAGAAGTTTATTATGAAAATATATACCCAATCCGTAGTAAATGGTGCACCTCTGCACATTAGATCACGGACACTGTCAGTATCCCCATATTTTGCACTAAAAAGTAACTGCTTTCCTAATTCCACTATTGATAAGGCATCTTGAGAACGTGCTCGATGAGATACATCACAGGAAAGGATTTCAACCTATGAAGTATGTACAGATGAAACAATATGCCTAAAGAATGATTATATGAAACAGATTTATATGAAATTATACATACAGGAATAAGGGTGTCTGAGTCCAGACCCTCAATATCATTAGTGCAAATACTTTCTGCTTGCATTTTTGTATATTTAACTCAATCCCCTTCTTTCTGATGCACGCTAAAATCAAACGATCCATAATAATTGATATCATTGGGACTTGTTTTAATATAAAAAGGGCTAGTTGTGACCATTCCATTTTTCACTCAGTAATTCGTCAGTGTTGTTCGACCTTGAAGTGCCGGGATCGAAAGTAGGTCGACAAATTAAAATTTGAAGATCAATTCGATAAAATTAACACGATTTATTTATTTTCGCCTACTTGTTCGGAAACGTAGCATGTATATTTTTCAAAATTTTCTTCAGTACAGGATGTTTTTATTTTGCCATTTCAGATTGTGAGGAACTTCCTGTTCCTGTTCATTAAACGGAAGTCCCATGCCATAGGCCCCGTGTTTTGTGCCCAAAAGCGATTCAAGTCGATTGTAAATAACATTGAAGAAAGTTATACTTACGACCAGTACATTATTCTTGCTTTTTAGCAATTTTTCCAACAATTTTCGAGCGCACACACTCACTTTGAGGAATTGTTCCTCCCCTCAGCCTTCTCGATTTACCGTCTTGGTAAAGTTTTATGAAAATGGCGACACCTTGGCGCCATTCCTAATACAATTTTATCATTGTTCTAAGCAGTTTTTAATGTCAATTCGGACGTATTTTTGTGGTTAGAGGTATCCTTTTATGTAAAGTTATAATTTTTTTAGCGCATTTTAATTACTTTATTTGAAATGATACTGAATAGTAGTCAAATATGTTAAATAGAGCGTATTACAGCGCCACATTGTGGTACACGTGAAAAGTATCTTACATTAAACAGGTTAGGTGTATTAAATTCGAGTAAGATTAGGTTACGTTGTAAAGTTTTACTCACAGTTGTATACATACATAGATATGTACATGGCTATGGTTATATACACGTCGTGTATAGGACCGCGATTTTATTTGTATAATAATTTTATTTATATAATTATAGATAAAAAAAGCGGAATAATTGTTGTAAAATGTAACATTCATTAGCTATATAATAAATAAATTGTATGAAATCAAAATATTTGATTAAATGAATATAATAAATATTTATGATATAACGAACATTTACATATATGTATGTTTGCGTACGAACTTTGGCATGAATCTTATATGAATTTTTCTAATCATTTGTATCTAAATAATCAAATAATATACGAATATATCCATATATACACATAAATGAAAATTATGCATTTTACATAGTATGAGATCAAAAGCATTCTGTTTGTTCTTACGCCGTTTCCTAATATCTTATATGCAATGAAAGTTGTGTAAATCGTTCATTTTAAACATATATTTTAAAAACGTTGTTAGTAATACTTTATCTGAAATATGTATTTATTAATTTTCCTGAAATAATACTTTTGTTTTTTATATTCTTTTTAGTTTATAACTTTCCGTTTTTTTATTCTTTTTTTCTCTTCTTCTAGTATGCTTGTTTACATTTCGATCCTTCCTTTTACAATTCGTCCTATAATTAACCCAATATCACAATCTATACATTTTATCATGCGGAGAAAATATATGTATATAGACACAAAGGATGCACATAACTTTGATGTATTTATATAAATGAAAGGTAAGTGGTATGGCTGGAATCACAGACAAGACATAAATTTTATGTCTTGTTTATGGTTATAATTTATTCCACATTACGCTTCATACGACGTTATAATTTATAGAGGGGGTAATAAATCCTCTGAATAGTTGGTATTATAGAATATATTCATATTCGTATATGATCATCAATGAGGTACGGAATAGACGTGACATCTGTGATGAAATCGTGACATCCAATGCTTTTTCGTGTCTCACGTTTTAGAATATACCTGATCCTCCATACCATTTTTGTATCGCATGTGACATTATCGATTCAGTGCAGTAGTAGCACAATCAATGCAAAAATGTTAAAGATTAATAAATCATATAAAATGTATGTATGTATATTATCTTAAACTTAGCAAAAAAATAGAGTTTTATTAAAAGAATTTTAATAAGATTCGGAACAAATTAAATTTTTTGAGTTAAGATGATCTTGATATTTTCAGTGGAAAAATATGTAAAAATTAATTTTTAAAGAATAAATTATATGGCACTATCAGAAGTTTCGTGAGTTAGGGAAAATTCTCGGTGGGCTGGTAGAGATTTGAGGCCGTCCTACGTAGGATTTAATCTTTGTACCAAGAACAATGTGGATAAAGTTATAGCAGTAAATTCTTTCTAATTGTCGTAAACAATAAGAAAACATGTATGCTAGACATCAGGGCCGAGATGCCCATTGGAGAGTTTGGAAAACTTCAGGTCAGTCGGTAGGGATTGGTAATCGCTGTACATAAAATTTAATTAATGAACTAAAAGTGCAGGACCAGTAAAAATCGATCATATCGATAATCTCCCAGTAAAAATTTAAGTTCCAGTCCGTCCCTGGGTACGTTAACAGAAATTAATGATAAAGCTAAAAAAAAAAGGGGTAATATGGTACAAGTTAGCCATATCCCAATTAGGGCAGTCTTACATGATTAATTAATATTTTATCTATTTAATCTCCAACTATTGTTGTCTTATCTTACTACTATCATCTTTAGTTTTTAGAACTTTTTTATTCTTACTATTTAATTGTGTTGTAGTATGATATATGTATATTCGTAATTTCATCTACTTCGATATTTTTAAACGAATATTTATGTTAATTATTTGAAGATTATTTAAATAAAAAATCGTTTTTATTTATTACTGATTATTTATATCCAAAAATTATTTAATATATTGTATTATGAACACAATTATCTTGGCTTGGAAATTTACATCTATATATCATTTAATGATATTGTAAATTGATAGTATTTCTTATTGATAGTAAATTCTTTCGGAATTTAGTCAGTAAGAATGATCAAGATCATTGAATAAGGATACTAATAACATTCGTTATCACAATCTTTTAGTTTGCACTCAGTTTGCAAATTTCTTGAGACATTACTTTTAAAATAGCATAGGGTTCAACAAGTTTCTTGATCAAATATTATTGCAACTTCTTTACATTGAATTTTTCTTTGAATAAAAAATTTCATTAATTAGCAGAAGTAAATTCATCTTTGAAAATCAGCCGACTTTTTAAAGAAATATTTGCAAATTGTAGCTCATCTACAAATATCAATTACCATGAAAAGTTACCTGATACAGGAGTAGAATATCTAAATAAAATTATTATTATTTAAATAATTATTACTATCGATAAATCATAATTATTAAATAATAATTGAATTATCATTATAAAATACACTTTAATTGTAATTGTTGAATATATAGTACATTTGTATTGTAGTGAGAGTGAGGGAACGTAGAGCGAAAACACACACAAGTATGTATCCTCTCCCTAGTATGTGCGTGAGCGTCGCACAATAGTCTAGGCCACCGTTGAGCAAAGAGAGCAATGCGCAGTGTGAAATCTCGTGCTCTAGGCCTCCGGCGAATAACTCACGTGGCGAGCAACGTTATGTGACTATTCGAATAAAGTTCTTTGTAATACCTCTTCAAATTCTCTCCATACCTTAACAATAATAAATAAACAATTCTATTTAGATCTTCTACTCTTGTATATTTTTATGATATAATTATGATAAATAGAATATTTTAAATTCTCAAGAATCACTCGAAATTTTAAAATATTGAATTACCTTAAGAGTAAACCTACAACGAAAAAAATATCATGAATATGTTATTTCTCAAATATTTAACTTTTTCGAAGAACCAAAAATTTATAAACGAAGTAACTGATCTTTTATCAGGTTTTTAATGCAAATATTTCACTGTGTCTCGCGTCGTATTTCCTATTGTAACGATTATACATATATGTATGACGTAAATCTTCATAACGACCTTCGATTCTTCAGAATAATTATTTCACATCAATAGTAGTTATATAAGAGTAAATTATCAACAAGAAATATTACTTAAGAATAGATCGTATAAAATTCGACTGATTTTAGTCATCAGTAACATTCTTCTGTTATCTATTAAGTATATTCGTCGATTATATATATTTGCTGTTTCAATAACAAAATCCAGATGTAATCTTATTTTATCACGACTTAAATAGAACATACAATCATCGCTGCATCAGAGTATCATAATTTACATTCTTTTTCATTTCTTAACAATTTTTTCCAATTTTCGAAATCTTATACTGTATTATTATTTATAAACGTACATTAAATTTGGATATCGATATTCGGAATATCGTTTTACCTTTATTTGATTAAAGAACTTTTCACTGTGTGATTAATTAAAATTTTGGTTAAGAACGACAGGGAGAAGGGTTATAGCAGTATAACAAAGTGCAATGTAACATATGTTGTATTACAAGGTAACATAAGTGTACTGCAAGGTGACTTAAGTAGTAATGTAAGAAAGTATGTAAACCGGAAGTCGTCCAAAGCCGAAAGGCAGGGACTAAGTTTAATAAATAAAATAAATAAATAATAATTAAAATTTTGGTTAATTTATTAATTGTGTTAATGAGAAGAAGAACGAAATATTAAAGGCGTAATGTTAACAAAATTATTAGAGGAGGATAAAATAAGCAAAAAATTAAAGAAGTATAAAAAATAGTACAGGAAATCCCCAGTTAATAAAAAAAAAATGTTACAAAATCATCGAAAGAGTCAGATTAGTTAATCGAATTTCCTAGCACACAACACAGATAAAGCTGAAAATATAATAGTTTTCCTCTTGAAATTCCCAATCTCTCAGACGTGACATGTGTTATCTTGGTTTATCGTATATGCGAAGTTGATCACGTCTGTGTACTTTTTCCTTGTTCATTCAAAATAAATCGCGCTAACTGATATTCCTCCATTCAACAGTCGAGGTTGGAAGAGGATGGATCTCTCTGAAATTGTTTAATTAAATTCATTAGACAAGAAAACTTTGAAACCTATTTCTTTATTTCTTATCAAAAATGAACGAATTACCAAGATATTCGTTGAAAGAAGTGGCGAAACACGATGGAAAAAACGAAGGGAGCCTGTGGATCATCATTAATGATATGGTATATGACGTGACCGATTACAAACATAAGGTAAGCGAGCAAAGATATAAAGAGAATTACAAAAGATTGCAAAAGCGATTGTAAAATATCTTCAAAATAAATGAAAAATAAAGTGAATCGTAATTACATTTATTTAATTATAAATTATCAGGTAGGGAAAAGGAGAAGATATCTTTGAATAATTTTTTTTGCAATATGATATTTAGGGGAAATTGAGAAACTTGTAGCATTAAAGTTGAAAATATTTTTCAACACGTTAAGAGTAATTCTTCGTGTTGGAAATCTTAATCAAAGTTTTAAAATTGATTTCAGCATCCTGGCGGAAAAGAGTTATTGGAAGAGTATGCAGGACAAGATGCAACACGTGCATTCGACGAATTTGGACATTCTTTAGATGCAAAACGTATGTTGAAGACGTTGCTTGTGGGTGAATTAATGGAGGTAAAAATATATAATTTATATTTTCGTATTATCTTTTTATACCTTTTATATAAGTAGTTACAATCGTCGAAATATTTATTTTGCATTATAGGAAGATAAAATAAGTAATAGAAGGAAAGAGAATAAGATCTCCACTAAAATGGAAACGCAGAGAAACAGGAGAGGGTATGAGAAAGAGAGAGAGAGAGAGAGAGAGAGAGAGAAGTATTTTTTACATATAAATATTAACAACAAAATAATTTTCATTTGCAGGTTTTTATCAGTATTATGTTGCAAATGTATAACGTGACACAAGGAAATAACTGGAAAAATCCATTCCTGATTAAATTACATTAATTTATTTTATTCCTTTTTATACTACCAATATACATATAGAGCTAATTATAAATTGCTATGTAGAGAAAGAATTATTATTTTTTTTTAATTATCACGTACAAGTTTGTTTAAAAAAATCGCCTCTTAAAGCTTCTATTCGATGCGAAAGTCGAGAGAATCGAAAGTACATACGTTGGCAGCATGCTAAGTGTATACGAATAAAAAACATGAATCAATCAATGAATTTCGTGAATGAATGTTCATTTGTCTCTAAAACTGTTCTACAATATTGTTCGTTTTGCTGTCTGTCGTTCATTTTATCTCACGCCTACATTAATTCTCGATAATAACTAAAACTTATAACAAATCAGACAATACTAAAGAAGAAAAAATGTAAAAGATAAAATCACATATAGCCTACAAATAAATATCTAATCATTGAGATAAATCTAAATTTCTTAATAAATTAATTAGTGTCAAAGAATTAAATTAATTGTCTTGTCGACGTTGAATGACAATTACTTATATGTCGTTTCCTCAGAAAAAAGTAATAATACACAAAGAAAAAGATAGATACGAGAACAAAAACGGTGTCTCTTTTCTCGATCATTGTAAATTATTATAACTGGAACTCATAACTATAAGACAATTAAATTACCAACGTCTTCACTCGTTAAACAAATTTCCTGCTAAATAAGGAAATTTAAATCCATCCACCCATTATCTGGCCAGTTGCCTTCGATTTTCCCCTCAATTTTGTCGTAGCTACCGGAACATTATCCTCTGGTGCCGCAGGTTTTGATGGCTCGCTGCTCGATTCCTTTTTCTTTTCTCCTTCATCCTTCTTTTCTCCTTCATCCTTCTTCTTTTCTTCCTCTCTCTTCTTCTTCTCCTCTTCCATTTCCTTTTTCTTCTTTTCTTCTTCTTCCCTTTTCTTTTTCTCCTCGTCTTCGGTGTTCTTCCTATCTCCTTTCTCTTTTTCCGGCAATGGTTTTGTATCTGTTGACTTTTTCGCTAAACCAGCTTTGCCCTGAGGTGAATTTCCAACCTCTCCTTCCTTCGGATCCTCGGGAATCGGCGACGGTGCCCTAACTTCTATTGAAACTGCTTTCTCTCCACCTTTCTCCAAGCTACCACTGCTCAAAGATTTCAGTAGAGTCTTTTTCAAAATCGGCGTTGCATGGACAGGCTCGGTTACAATTCGAACGGATTTTTGCGATCCTTCAACATCACTCTTACTTTCTACAGTCAACAAAAAATAAAATTACAAATGTACTTTATTGTATGCAATTGATACTAAGAACTATTCGAATTAAAATCCAAATTAATTAATATTTTAGGGTTACAACGGTGCATGCTTGAATAATGTTCGTTTGAATAATTTTTTTCCAAATATGTTATGTAAGGAATTTTTGTATCTCCACTTATTTGATAAAAGCTTTATGTTTTAGTCCCAAGATATAAGAAGAAGCTAACATCTTATTAAAAAAAAAAAAGAAAAAAGGGAGGAGTAAGAAAAATATAAAAATGTCCGAGACAGTCAGAGAAGAATGATTTTCCTTCATACCTAATTTTTTAAATAATTAATTTTGCGTCAACTGTAGTGAGCTGATTTTACAAGGTCAGCTAAAGGACATGGATCGCATCTCTGCACGAAGGAGCTGTGTCCAAGTTAAGCTTTTAGAATTTAGGAAGCTTCAACTTTATTACTCTAAATATTATTTCTATAAATAATAATAATAAGGTGGACATTAGTATAGAAAAAGAGATACACTTACCCCCCTCCTCCTTTTGCTCTGGAATAGGTCTTGCCCGACCTATCATGAATTTCGCGTAGGCGATCCTCGTGGTCGGTGATACTTCCAATAGATTAGGATTGTAATCAACCAAACGATTAGGATCTAACGAGGCCAAGTCCGAATTCTGAGTTTGTAAGTGCCTACGTATACTGCGTCGCGTTTGTTTCATAGTGGCCTCGGTCGTGCTACCAATAGGATCCTTTGCGAAAGTGTTCTTCCGGACCATGGCGTTCCAGTCTTTCTTCTTGCTTCCGCTACTCTTACGACCAATAGCCTTCGCGATTTGACTGAACACATCTTTAGGTTCCTTCTCACTCTGGATCACGGCGTTCACGATACCCTCCACTATACCGATCTGGAAGTCCTTTTGCAATCGACGTTCCATCACACGACCTTTCTTGCCAGATACTAATGAAAACAATTATTATTGATTGTCATTTATTATTAATAGCAGGTTGCGGATTTTTTACATCTACAAATACAAAATGCACATATGTTTGCAACAATATTCAGTAGTTCGTGTTTACATTAGATATTTTTAGACGCGTTTATAAAAAATATCATTTTGCATAAATATCCGCACTTCATTAGCCATATTACTTGTATCATTTTAGTTGATTTACTTTCTTACGCGACAGAAAAGATTTGTCTTTTAGGTAAATTATAATCTTTCTCAAGTTCTTTACACTTATGCTCTGACAAGCATACAGTTTGAATTCCTGCGTATTTTCGAAGTGGTTAAAAAGATTCAAATGGTCCCTCGCAGAGTTCGTTCTGATTTACATTTCGATTCGATATACATTTATTGAATTTTAATATGTATGCGTGGTATTTTGTTTAACAATCTTTCTCCATCTTTCACGCAACTTGAATATTCCATTCTTCCAGAACCTCTCAGATTTTTTGGCGAAAAACTTTTCAATATGACTTTTTACGTTGATCAAGGAATTACAAACACTATAGTAACATTTTGTTTATAGCACAAATTGCTTTCTTTACTGTTTTATTTAACAATACTTAACATTTTTATAGCATTAACATTTATATAACATTTACATTTTATATTTATGCCGCATGAGGTATGTAAGACGCGAATTCGCGTCTGCAGTCCACAAAGTGTTAATATTAACGTGAATAATTCTATATCTTTTATATCTTGAAAGAGGAGATGAGTGAGTACATATTTCTATATTTCTTTGAAGAAATTACTCATATCAAAGCTTCATAGTATATACATACACCTGGATAATGTAATATCAACTACTGCAAACATAATGTTCGTTTTCAATTAAAGATAAACCATTCATGTTTCAGAACTTTTTGTGAGATATAACGTAAATAGCTATCATATCTCGAACAACAACAAGCAATAATCGATGAACAATCAAGCAATGAACTCATTCTAATATTGTCAATCGTAAATTTAAAAGAACAACCGAGTATAACTAATTTTTCGATATTTTATCGCTGTAATCTAAGATATGAATCATAGATATCAAATAATATTCATGGATTGCATAATAAAATAATGAAACAGGAATGGTTGAAGGTACAATATGGCGGAAGCAATTTGGATCTTACGTGCGGCATCCTGTTTGTCGAGCGTTGGTGTTCTCATTCCATTTTGTCGAAGTATATCAATAAGCTCGTATCGTAACGTGGAAATGTCCTGTCTGATCTCCATTACGTCGTCTTCGGTGATACCGAACTCGTCCCGTTTCCTTTGTTCCGCAGTAACATAACGTCTGATGAGCAATCGCATCACCGTGTCATGTCTTGCCAACGCTTTTTCTCTGGACTTTTTCTGGAAATTATTTGTAAAGATTTCTTTTAGTTCAGCAGTGGCGATTTCACGAACATTAACGTAGAATCTTTACTACAATTAGTTTATTTACAAAAAAGGGATTAAACAGATGTTGGTTAAACAGGAAACGATGGTTGTTTAACGTGAACTAATCATAACGTATTATAATTATAATTAAGACATATTATAACGTATTATAACGTATTATATTATAATAATATTATTATATATATTATTATATATTTATTATATTATATATTATATTATAATATTATATTATAATAATTATAACGTATTATAATTAAGACAACTAGATAGTTAATTCGCAACTCTCGTCACCACGGATCCAACGCCCTCACGACAACACAATTCGCACTCTCTGGCTTCTCAACTCACACTGACTTTGTCCTTTCGTCTTTGTCCTTTGTCCCTTAGCAACTCCTTGTCTTTTGTCTTAGCCCCACCACGCACGTGTTCCGCAACCACTCGTGGCTATGGTCACGTAGACCTTTTCCGCGAAACTATTCGATCGAAGAATCGACGATACGTTGTTGAGCCTGTCGACACTTCGGCTTTCTCGCGACATTCTTTATAGTTCGCCCGATATCTCTTAGCTCTTTCGTCTACGATACTACACTCGGCTATTTTGACAATTACATCTGCCCTCAGATGTTCTCATCTTCGCCAGTTTCACTCGCACCACTGATTTCAACGATGTCCCACCATTTCATATGATTAACCGCCGTGGAAGTCATTTCGCAAAACTTTCACTACGCCCCCGTCTTGTATGTTGTCGCCTTCTTGCGTCTCTTGTTAAACGCCCTTCACCGACAAGAGGTCGAATTGATAGCTCGCCTTCGCACTACCTGAAATTTTCTCGTAACCGCCTCATTCTCGCTTTTCATTCGCCGCTTAAAACTAGCGCTAGGCTTTATTTATTCGATTGTACAATTCGCACGATACTCTGTACATCCTACGAAAACTTCATCGCAACCGACCGTGTCGTCTCCACTCGCTCGTATTAAAGTTAATTCGCTGTCGGTGTCTATCAGCGCGGTCAATTCGAAATTTCGAGGAAGGCGATCTTAACGCCTTTACCACACTTCATCTGTAACAATCGCCATGCACTACAGACCTCTTTAGGGGATTCGCTCAGGTTGTCGCACTTCGATGCGATGCGTCCGTACCCTCTACACTTAAAGCACTTAGGGCCTATCGACTTGTTTGGACAATTTACACTCATATGCTCTTTGTCACCGCAATTGTAACATCTTGTCTTCTTCACTGCATCTCCAGATTGACTGGGCTTCTTGTTTTCAATTTTGATCGACTTTGCTCTGCGACACTTCTGTTCCTCGTACATAATTAAACTTTTCCTTAACGCTTTGATTGACATAGCACCGTACAGTGTACACTTGTTGCTTTCTTCGTCTACTATTCCGTCTACAATGTATTCCATTTTTGCTTCCTCTTCCATATCCACAAGGCTGGCTATTTCAAGCATGCGATACATATAAGCCAAACATGTTTCATCACTTCTTTTTCGTTTCTCTGAGCCTCTGATGCACTTGTCGACTATTATTTTTCGAAAATTTTTTAATCAGCCCTCTCTTCAGCTCATGCCAAGTCACTTTTTTGCCG